GAAAAAGCAGTTCCTTCTGATGCATCTGTACGGGTACAACAATCTTCTGGGAGCAAAGGAACTGGAAGAGCGGCGGTGCGAACCCTCACTCAGGTGCGTGAAGCTGAAGACTCCGGTGCAAAAACCATGCCGAGAGGCTCCTATCGGGAGCTTTTTGATAAGGTCAGGTACCGTGATGGTTGGACGCTTGCGCAGAGGTCTCCGCTGTGCGTACAGAAGCTGCGGTTGGTGGGAGTTGGAATGCTGCCGGTGAATCCACCAACAAAAAAGTATCGGTCAAGATCAAACCCTGTGAGAAGGGGAAGGCCCTTGCTGGACAAAAAACAGGTGCGACAGGTGCCACGCTCTCGGTCACAACGACTAGTGCAACCGGCGGAAGTGGTGGAAAAGCCGAAGCCACTGGAACTGAAGCCTCGTGGTGGGTTGTCGTATCGGTTCAGCAGAGCGTGGGCAGATGTGGTGGATGATGATGAACAGGCGGAGGCCTTGGTCTCGTATGCCGCTTCCTCAAGCGATTCAAGCGAAGAGGAGACCAATGCCGCGCAACGCCTGAAGGAAATCTTTTTGCAAGAAAGGGATTCACAGAGAACTGCGAATCGTGGCAATGTTCCGCAAAGTGGTTCTTCAGGCTCCAATGACGGGCCGAAAAAATCGGTTCACCTTGGCGAAGGGCGCGACAAAGCGTCGCGGGGGGAGACCCGCCAAGAAGTGACTTCACAAGTTTTTTCGCTACCACAACCTTCTCGTCGAGCTGAACGGTCTCAAAAAAGAGCAAGGGATGGTTCAGTTATGGTTGGTTCGCTGGCGGTGGGCTCCACGGATGAGGTTTTACCTGGGCAAGGTGTTGCTGGACAGGTGAATGTCTCTGAAAGCGCTCAAGTTCTTCCTGGGCAAGAAGTGGCTGGACAGGAGACGGCGCCGGAAGGAGCAGTACAAATTTCTGGCGAGGAGACTGACCAAAAAGAAGGAGAAGGTGGGAGCAATGAACTCCGTGGTGATGGTGCGAAGATATTGGATGTTTGTCCGGTGAAGAATGACCTTCAGCAATTGCTGGTTAAAGGCCTTCTGACTCGGATTTATTGGAAGGTTGCTGTTGGCAAGTTGCCTGTGGGGCAAAGAGACTGCCAAAAAGGGTCCAATAAGATGGATCGAAATTTGGTTATTAGCATGTCATCCGAGGGTGCAAGCGAACAGGATGAGAACCTGGCACTGGAGGACGATGCTGATCAGTCAATGGGTGACGGTGCGATGGTAGTTCTGGTGTATGATCCAAGGACGCTGATTCAGTCGCCAACAACTGATTGGGTTATGCGTCGCGGTCTGACCGATCGTTCCGTCTGGCCAGCAATGGCGTACATGGCACAGAGGATATGTGCTGAAATGGTTCAAGTGGATGAAATGAATGCCCAGCTAGGGACTGGAGCACTCCTTTTTCAAAGGAGAGATCAAGGACATTATTGTGACCTGCATCATTCGTTCCATGACAACCCGTGCTTGCCGGCGGTGGGAAATTACCCTCTTTCGGTGATGGGTGCCTTGTTGTCTCCTGGTCTGGAAGGGGAATTCAAAAATACTGACAAGTTTGGAACTGCTATGGAGGCAATTGCCTATGATTGGAGTCGCAGTCCAGGCATGGAAGTTCACATTGAACTTATGGCGAGGGTAGCCAAAATGGTTCACCCGTTCCTGAATCTTGGAGCCCAGGGGTCGGTGATGGTTTCGGAATTTCTCTGGCAGCGCGGGAGGGCCCGGTTGATGGAGTTCCTTCAAGCGGTGACTTGTGCGGACCAATTGGAGGCTCTCTGGAAAAGGATGGACGACGATGCTGATGAAGAGGTGGATCCTTCGACAGCGGTGCTGGAAGTTCTTGGACCAGAGGATGCGGTACTTGATCAAGGGAACAATGAATCCCTTATTCCCATTGAAGATGCTGGAGGTGAGATAAGTGGTGACACTGGAGGGGATGGCAAAGCGCCAGAAGTTTCTCCGGAAGAGGAGACATCCAGTGGGTCATCAAGACTGGCGGACACAAGGATTTTCTTGTGGTCAGTGTACTCCCGCGTGGCTTCGAATTTCTCTATGCAGGACCGCACTACTGGTAAGATCTTTGACAGCACAAAAGGGTATCCGGGTGAAGGACCAAACAATGATGACAATCCTTCCTCTAAGAGGAACTTACCCTGGATCTCGGAAGACTACCTCGACGAAGTGGTGTCAAAAAAGATGGAAAGGTCTTCAGATATGGATGGGGTTGTTCCGGGAAGTGAGGGACCATTTGAAAAGGTAGAGGTGGAGAATGTTACTGCCTCTAAAATTCTTATGGCTCTTTGGAAGAAGGGATATAGAGCTGGGTATAGGAGGTTGTGTCGTTTGAACGCATCTGGATGCAAGGTTGGAGCAATGAAACGTCCAATCAAAAGGGTGCAGAAGATTGGCACTAGAAAGGCCTTCACGAAGATGTTCAATGTTTTTGGATCGTCTCAGCATGGCTCAGGAGTTGGCGGAAACCCAATCATGAAGGTGGTAGGACCAAGGCCAGGTTTTCCAGCTGTACTCCAAGCACCAAATACTGATAGCACGTCGGGTGAAGGGAGCAGTCCCCAGGTACATGGCAATGTTCATGTAGAGCACAATCGCCCTATGGACCGGTATGAGGCAGAGCGCTTGGAGAAGAGGAAGAAAGGCTTCTGCTATTGGTTCAGCAAGGGAAAAGATCGCTGCAAATTTGGTGAAGACTGTAAATTCATCCATTCCGAAGATGATGTGATGCTACCTTCGTATTGGTGCAAATACTATGTGGCAGGGAGAGAATGTTTCGCTGGAAAGGATTGTGGGTTCTCGCATGATGCAACTGGTGTGAGGTGCGTCCAGTTTGCTCGGTCTGGGAAGTGTCGTTATGGTGACAGGTGTGTCTTCGAGCATGGTGTTCCGCTGGATGAACAGAGGCCAAGGTCTCCAAGGACGCCCCCAAGGGATGGTCCAAGGAGAAAGTCTGGTGCAAATGGTGGAGAAAAGGAGATCTCTCCTGAACAGTTCGATGATGATGAGGAGGATTTTATGGTTTATGACGAAGATACCAAAATGACGGAACTGTTGATGGAGGCGATTTCATTTCTGTCCGGTGGCAAGCCAGATTTGGCTCGAGCAGAGGCGGACCCATTGTTCAAACTCCTGAAGTTCACTGGAGATACTGACCAAATGGATCAAGAATGGGTTTCGTGGACCACTGAAATGTTGACCGTGCTGGAACTTCTCGAAGTAGTGAAGTCGTATGAGGTTTCGCTCGCGGAGGTGGAAGAATGGGTCAATGACCTGAGGATATGGTATGAGCGAGCCAATTTGGGAGAAGAAAAGGATCCCAAAAGAGGCAAAAAGAGGTCCCTAGAAAGGGAGTCCAGCAAGGATATTCCTGCCGAAAAAGAAGTGGTTGAGACTTCGGAGACGGAGGTTGCCGTTGAAGAAGAGAAGAAAAAGGTAAAAAAGAAGAGGAAAGCTGCAGCTATCGAAGATCCTTACACTCTCATGGTTCCAAAGCCGAAGAAGATGCCGACGATCATTGAGAAGGGTGGATCAACATCCAATGTGGTGGCTTCTGCAGTGGAAAAATCCTCGAAGACGCGCACAAAGTCAAATGTCGGTGGAAAGACAAAGAAGAGGGAGAAAAGTCAGAGTCCCAAAAAAAGAAGAGGTGGTAATGGTGCAAGGTCCTGAGGAAAAGGATCGTCCATCTGATGCGGATGTACCCGTGTCTACAACTGTGAATGCAGAGCTGGGTCAATCGTGCCAAGCGATTGAGGACGCAAAGAGAGAAGGATTGGTATCCTCAATTCAAAGGTGCGTACAGGATCCTGTGCTTACAGTTTCGGACCTGGAGTATATTCTGCTACAACTTCACCTCAAGATTGCCAACAATCGGAAAAAGAAGTGATTGGATGGTATGGATGAAGGGATGGTTTTTCTCTTTCTGGAGACAGGTGCGCTGGAACAGCCAATGTGCTGACAATGTGGTGGTTACTATTAAGGGTATGGAAATCCCTGATAGTAGAAGTCAGTAGCTTTTCGCGTAGCGAAGACCACGGTTTGTGGTGAAGAAGGCCAAGGAGTCTTCAGTGATGAGAGGATCATGGTGAAAAGAGATTCTCTGTGGTTAGTGGGTTAGCCAATGTGCTATAATTCCGTCCTGGATGACGTTAAACCATATTTTGCATTTCAAGCAGCTGGCTGCTGCTTTAATGGCAGTTTTTGGCCAAAACATCTGCACCTCCAAGGTGTCCTAGGAAATCCTAGGACAGGGGGAGTGCGGAGCTGCAATTGGTATTGTAGAAAGGAGTTAGTGTTGAAGGTTGGATGGGTCAATGAACCCGGATATTTGGCTCAAGATGGCCCCGAGCCGTCCGCTTTTCGTTGAAAAGGTTGTGTCCGTGTGTTGGGTGTTGGGTCTTGTGGGAGGTAGTAGTCCCGACCCTTCTCCCTTAGTCTTTCCCTCTAGGGTGGGATTCTTCTCTTACTGGTTCGATCTGGGAAATCCATATAGGCAACTGTTAAGGGTTGGTTTCTTTCCCCTTTCCCCTTCGGTTGCCCCCGTATAGGGTTTAGGGTTCAGGGTTTAGGGTTCTTAAGGGTGCTGCCAAAAAATCAGGGGTGGGGAGGGGGGAACACCTGCGAATGCCCACCCCAAACCCCTAAACCACTAAACCCTAAATATACTTGGTAGCCCAGGAACCAACTTATAAGTAAAGGGTACCCTTCTCGCGGTTGGTTACTTTTCAAGGAAACCTTGAACCCAAAAAAGGGCAAAAGGGTACCACTGGGCTACCAAGTATGACAACCAAGCATTTTGGGGCCAAACTTGTTAGGACATGCCCACTCCAAATCCCTAAACTCCTAAACACTTAAACCCCTAATACCCTAAACCCTAAACCCTAAACCCTAATCCCTAAACCCTAAACCCCTAACCCCAAACCCCTAAACCCTAAACATGACAACCAAGCCCCTGGCGCCTTCACGCCTGCCAGGCGTAGCCTCAGCGCCACGGTCTTCGAGTCCAAGCCACCGCTGACGCAGATGCCGACAACATCGCCGTTCTCCACGTACCTAAGCATGCCCCGACACCCCACCAAAAGTCTAAACCCTAAACCCTAAACCCTAAACCCTAAACCCTAAACCCTAAACCCTAAACCCTAAACCCTAACCCCTAGATGAGTTCATCCCAGAAGACCCCGATAGACACGCGGAGCCGACCGAGGTCTTCTTCACGTGTTACAAAGTCCCCCTTAAGGCAATTTGGGTTCAGGGTTACTTAGGGCTCTTAAGAGGTTCCAGTGGAAAACAAAGATGTGGCTATGTCCCTGAAGGGGACCTAAACCCTAAACAGGAAACCCTAAACCCTAAACCCTTATTTCATAACCCCCAGGTGTAGGGTCACAAATTCGCCCGATCCCCCAAGATCAGCGTGGCGCGTGAGGTGTCTGCATGGTCCCAGGATGCACAGGACCCCAATGGACAGTAAAGGGCTAAAGGGTTTAGGGTTTTGGGTTTAGGGTTTAGGGTTTAGGGCTAAGTAAGGCTTGCTAAGGTTGGGGTCCTCTTTCGGGGCAGAGGGCAGACAAGATGGATAGCTTAGGATCTCCTGATGGTGCTCTGACCGGAACCCCCGGTGACATTCCTCCATATCAGCTCTAAGCCCTCGACATGTAAACTGATTATGGTTCAGGGTTTAAAGGTTAGAAGGGTTTAGGGTTTAGGGTTTAGGGAATCTTAAGAAACCAGGTGCCCTGAATAGAGGAAAGCCAATTTCGACTCCAGGCTTATAAGGGCCGGTGGCCTCTTAATCTGTTACCCTTATACCTTAACATACCCTCATAAGAACCCCAATATATGACCCTATAAAGCAGGAGCCCTACTTAAAGAGACTACCATAAGTCCAGGCGGCTTCTTCAGGATGGGAGACTCATTCAGGCCGCCGTTCGCGGGCATGGCTTGGATGAACTTCCGGGTAGCCGGGCGCGCGCGCTGAGATGTCGCTTGACGCTGACATGCCGACGGTGCACACCAGAAGGGCATTGGGGCATTGTGCCTAGAGTTTAGGGTTTAGGGCTTATAGGGGTCCGTTCCCTCAGCCCCCACCAGGACGGGCTATTCGGCCCTATAATCCCCATCATCAAACCTGTAAAAGGGCCTTTTACGGGGTTTTCGGGTATAATCGCCCGTCCTGGTAAACACTAAGCCCTTGAATCCTGCCTAATGTGTCGTGTTACTCGCAGCTGCTTCTCAAGGGTCGGTCATAGACCGTAAACCCTAAACCCTAAACCCGAAACCCGAAACCGAAACCCGAAACCCTAAACCCAAACCCTCCTAGGCGTTGGTCGAAGCCCTAGGCCGAAAAAGGGTCTCCTTCAAAACCAAAATATACATGCGACAGGATATTGGTGTTTCCCCCGAAGAACTGTATGGGTGCCCAACCTATGTAGTTAAAGCCGTTTGGTATTTATGGTTCAGGCATGTCTAGTTTTTGGGGTTTCGGGCTTAGCGCGTTTCACGTTTAGGGTTCGGGGTTTCGGGCGTAGTACGGGTCAGGGGGTGTACATGCCCGGAACTGGACCTAAATATGGCTTCTTTCATAGCTTGTTTAGCCGCTTAGCCTTAGATAAGGCAGTAGGGCTTAGGATTTAGGGTTCAGGCGTGTGTGTCTCTGTGTGTGTGTGGGTGGGTGGGGGAGCGGCTCGCCGTGCATCCGGCCTGGCTAACGCGCTGTCCGGCCCGCCATCTCAGCCCCCTCCGAGAAACGTCATTGGGAGCTCCGGTTGGCGTTCTCCACTACCCCGGGGTTCAGGCATTAACCCTAAACCCTAAGCCCTAAGCGCTCAGAAGTTTCAGGGGTTTTGGCAACAGCTTCTGAGAATGCACCCTTCTAGCCCCGAAGGCCCCTCAAACCTGACACTCCTCAAGATAACATCGCCGCAAGGGTTTAGTTTAGGGTTTAGGGTTTGAGGTTTAGGGTTTAGGGTTTAGGGTGTAGGGTTTAGGGTGTAGGGTGTAGGGTGTAGCGTTTAGGGTTTACAGTAGGGTGTAGGGTTTAGGGTTTAGGGCTTCATACCTCGAACCTTGAACCCTAAGAACCAATTGTAAAACCTAAACCCTCAACCGCAGCTCTTGTTTTCTCTTCGTGGGCCTACGAAAGCCTCCGCTGCGTTTCAGGCTGTGGGCGTCACGTCCCAGCCCTGCGTCTTCAACGCCTCGGCTGGGCTTTGGTGGGTTTAGGGTTTAGGGTTTAGGGTTAAGGTTTTAGGGTTTCCTAGAGGTTCTTAGGGAAACTGGCAATTAGGTACCTGACTTCCCCTAGCCTTCAAAGGATTATGTAGGGTACCTCATGCCCTGTTCAGAGCCCGTAGGGTTTTTGCGGAGTTTGAGGTTTAGGAAAAGGGGGTTTAGGGCTTCCCCTCAACCCAAAACCCTAAATCCTATGGTCACCTCTCAAACTGATAGATTCTTGTTGGGTACCCTACAGATAAGAGGGGCCGCCTTACCATCAGGACCCCAAAAGGGACCATATTTTGTTCAGGGTCTAGGGATTTTAGGGTTTAGGGTTTAGGGTTTAGGGTTTAGGGTTAAGGGTTAAGGGTTAAGGGTTTACTTTTGCAGTAGGATCGAGGTTTCTACCCGATCGTTCATGAGTTGGTGGCAGAATGCAAGTCTTCGGGTTTGGGGTTTAGGGTTTAGGGTTTAGGGTTTAGGGTTTAGGGTTTAGGGTTTAGGGTTTCGGGTTTGCTGTGAAAGGGCGCCGAAGCTGTGAATATTGGGATGCAGACTCGCTGAAGCCGCTTCAGATGCCAAACGGGTTCTTTGGCACACCATCTCAGCATAACCGTCCGGACACAGATTCAGCTGCACTTGCTGACGCCAGCATCGCGCAGTCAGGCGTAAGCAACGCAGCGTCGCCCCTGGTGTCAGAGACAGCTGCGACCAGGAATCCTGCACAGTGATCGTCAAACCTCAGGTGCTACAAGCGTAAAGCCAACAGCAGAAACAGCAGCAATAACAACAGGAACGATAAGAATGACAGCGACAGCGATACTCACAATGATAATGTGCTGTGTCAAGATTTGAAAGACTTAAGACGATTTGCGACATGGCTGAACTTGTTCTTGGATATTTGAGGTTACATTGAGGTTGTAAGCCCCGGCTGCCGCATCAAGATGTCGAGATTTTAAATGCTTTAAGAAACCGCTGCGTCTCTGCCTTTCCACTGAGAATCGCCCCATGGCTCTCAACCCTAAACCCTAAACCCTAAACCCTACACCCTAAACCCTAAACCCTACACCCTAAACCCTAAACCCTAAACCCTATACCCTAAACCCTACACCCTAAACCCTAAACCACTAAGCCAGAACCTCGGATGGCCCTCAACTAAACACCCTCCTGAACAAATCTTCCTCAAAAATGGGGTTTAGGGTTTAAGGCTTAGGGTTTAGGGTTGAGGGTTTAGGGTTTAGGGTTTAGGGCTAGACTCAGAAAGTGAGCTAGGAATAAAGGGTGCCCTTTTTGGTTTTCAGGGGGTTGTAAGGGAACCCCAACCCTAAAAAAAGAGGAAATAGGGGCCCACTCCGGGTCCTAGCCCTAAACCCTAAACCCTAAACCCTAAACCCTAAAAAAGGAAGTAAGGGGAATGTGATGCCCCTGAAACCCAGCAACGAAGGAAAATGTCGAATATCCCTGAAGGGCCCACCAGGAACCCTGCAGGTCCGTGGCCATCTGACGACGAAGTGGTTTAGGGCTTAGGGTTTAGGGTTAAGGGTTAAGGGTTTACGGTTTAGAATTTGGGGTGTAGGGTTTAGGGTTTAGGGTTTAGGGTTAGAAAAAATGAAAGCTGGGAGGCCCCGACGCGGAGGCTCAGCTGGCAGCTTGGAGATAAGGGCTGCTCCTTCCCTCGCATGCCTTCCCGGACGGATCGCTTCTGGAATGAAAGCCACGGGGCTTTGGGTTTAGGGTTTCAGGGTTTAGGATTTAAGGTCTGTAGAGCTTAGTTGCTGAGTTCATAAGCCCCACAAAAGTGTACACTTTCAGTTCGAAAGGGGACTATGGTATCCCCAACAGTGTAAAGTGTACTCCTTCAGCTACTAAGAGGGTCTATAAAGCTTAGGGTGAAGGCACCCGGGAGATGAATTGAGGACCCAACTTAAAGGTCCATACTTGGAACCCTAGAGAAGCCTTAAGTCAGCCTTGCGATATGGACTCCTTTGTCTCTGTCAAGCACTTGCCGTATCCGAACAGAAGAACCCTTATAACCCGTAAGCCAAATTAGGGTTTAGGGTTTAGGGTTTAGTGTTTAGTTTAGGGTTTAGGGTTTAGGGTTAAACCTGGACACCCCGGCCTGGCACTCCTTTAGTGCTAAAAGGGATGTCTCAGCAAGCGCAAAGATGCGGCATACCCCGCGGAACTCCGATGCGCGAACAAAAGTACCTTAAACTCTGAACCCTGACTCCTAAACCCTAAGCCCTGAACCCTAAACCCTAAACCCTAAACCCCAAAACCTACATGTCCCTAAACCATAACCTTGGAAGCTCAACATCTGGCCTGCCAGTGTATCCCCGAAGCCCAGGAGCCGTATCCCCGCTGACTGTTTGCCGCCTTTCTTTCCTGCAGATCACATGGGCGCAATCTCGATTGCCATCTCTAGAGTTGCGCAAACGGATGGCATCGGCATAAAACCCACTTCTCTTCTTTCTGTATCTCTCTTTTGCTTTCTTTCCTTCCTTCCTTCATTCCTTCCTTCCTTGTCTCTCTCTCTCTCCCTCTCCCTCTCCCTCTCCCTCTCTCTCTCTCTCTCTTTCTCTGTTTCTGTCATTCTCTCCTGCTGCCACCAACGACTTCAGGGTTTTTGTGCTTCACACGCCTTCGCTTTTGGGGTGGGGTTTAGGGTTTAGGGGTTAGGGATTAGGTTTAAGGCTTTAGGGTTTGGGGCTTAGGCTTCAGGGTCCAGGGTTTAGGGTTCAGGGTTTAGGGAAGCCTTAAGGTTTATGCCCCAACAGTACTGCAATTGCAACCTGCACAACACACCGGCTTGCTTGATGCAGTACATGACCGTCCCTGCTACTCTTCAGGGTTTAGGGCCTGAGGGTTTAGTGTTTAGGGTTTCAGGCCACTTGCCCTTAGAAACCTCCTGAAGCCTGAACCTTCAATGGCAGAGGGACTGAGTGTGAAGTCCCTCCTAGCAGAACACCCTAAACCCTAGACCCTCAACTCTAACTCATAAACCCTAAACCCTAAACCCTAAACCCTAAACCCTAAACCCTAAATCCTAAACCCCAAACCCTAAACCCTAAACCCTAAACCCTAAACCCTAAGCCCTTCACTTACTTCTGAAGCCAACTGCAGCCCCGTCCTTGCAGGACCACCTCGGCACCTGTCACTGCGAGTGCGTGAGATCATGGAATTACGACTCGAGCCCGTACCCCGGTAGGCTTCCATGGGGTTTAGGGTTTAGGGTTTAGGGTTTAGGGTTTAGGGTGAGGGTTTAGATTTGGGGTTTAGGGTGTAGGGTTGAGGTATATTCAGCCCCTAAGCCCCAAAGAGATTCCGCTGCTTCTGTTCAGACTTCGTGAGACAGAAGAGGTTTCGTGTTCAGGAGATGACATTTTTTCATAGACTTCTAGAATGAGGGGACCCTGATTTGCTGATTTGAACCCTAGACCCCAAACTCCCAACCTTAAACCCTAGACCCTAGACCTCGTGGGGTTTGGGAGGAGGGGGGGGGTGTTGTTCGGGCTATCTTTCTATTGAGGGGAGGGGTGGGTCCACTTTACACGGGCTGTAGTATAAGAAGTACTTCTGAGGGCGCGGCTCTACTTAAGAACAACCTTCACATGTACAAGCTCTCAAAGCCACAAGCCCCAAACCCAGTTGCATTTTGTGGTCTTGGGATCATAAGAGGTATGGTTTAGGGCTTAGGGCTCAGCGCTTCGGGCTTCGGGCTTAGGTGTTTAGCATCAACCACCATCAAATCCTTATACTTATTCTATGAATATTTATATAATACAACATCAAATAAACTTAATTCTAAAGGTTTAGGGCTTTGTTGCTCCCCAACTCGAAACACAAAGGGGTCGCTGGAGCTGAGGGCGCTGGCCCACAGGGACAGAGACGAAGCCAGCGTGGGACCTGTCGCAGGGTTGTTTCTTCGGCTTATTTGGGGGTACGAAAAGAAGGGACCTCTCTAATATAGACCTCAAGTAGTAGGATCCCCTTCTGATCGTCAACATGTAGAATTTCGAGTTTGGGGGCTTAATTAGTACCCACAACCCCAGGCTCCCCAGCAACCTCGGATGAAGAAGGGCACCCTTCTTGGATCAATGGGGTTCAGGGTTTAGGGTTTAGGGCTTAGGGTTTAGGGTCTAGGGTTTAGAACGGATCCCAGACCAACAAAAAAGGGAATCAAGGGCGGGCATCCCAGCACCTGACCCCGTGAACCCTAACCCTAAACCCTAAACCCTAAACCCTAAACCCTAAACCCGGAAACCTAAGCAAGGTGGGGACTTCCTAAGCCTCGCACTGGTCCACCAGTGCTGGCAGCGGCACCATCGGCCTGAGCCCGTGTTTCTGACCCCTAGGTTTGGTGGTTTAGGGTTTAGGGCTTCGGGTTTAGGGTTTCAGGGGCTAGTTAGGGTTCAGGAGCTGAGGGATTCGGGTTCCAGTCAACACTTCAGTAATCTGAGAGTTCGATGAACTGTTTGGGGGTTCTTTGCGCCCTGCCACTTCGGCATGGCGTGAGGCCCATGCTGCAGTCAGACGGATACTAGACCCAGGAGTAACCTAACACTGGTACCCTAAGCCCTAAACCCTAAACCCTAAACCCTAAACCCTAAACCCTAAACCCTAAACCCTAAGGGGATTCTAAGGGAACCTAAGTCCCCAAAAACATGGAATAAGGGGCCTACTCTGGGTCCTAGGATACAATGGGAGGCAGGACAGGTACTTGGCTTCATCTTGTCTAGGTACTTTACATCGCCATGGCTGCTCAGTTCTCTACATTCTAGTCAAGGAACCATGGCCCCATGAGTTCATGAGCTAAATTCCGTCTTCCGTGCCCAAGGGTTGATTTAAGAGAGCTGTATCAACACGAAAGTAGCTGGCAAAAGGGGGGAAGCCTCCCTAAATCTCGACACGCCATATGGCATATGCCCGCGAATCAAAGTATCGAAAAATCGCACCACCTCTGTAGCAACAGAAGTATTTATGTAGCGCCTCATTGTTGCAAGCTTACGACATGGAGACCTGCTTCGCAGGGGCTTGTCGCGGAGGGGGGGGGGGGGGGGGGGTTGCCATAAAAAGAAGACGGAGTTGTTACTCGTCGGGTAGCTATACGGTCCCTTAGTATGGGCCCTTACAAAGGGAACCATACTTCAGAACCTAAACCTGAACCCTACCTGAACCCTACACCCCCCCTCCCCCCGCCCCCCCCATGTCGCAAAAGGGCACACATATAGAGCCTCCTACATATCCCTGGACGTAGTCCAACCAATATACTTTGAGGTTCATGAGTACATATAAAGTAAGTAGGGTTATGCGTACTGAATAAGGACATAAACGGGTTTGGGTTTCGGGTTTGAGGTTTAGCAAGGGATTGGGGTTTAAGGTTGAGGGTTTGGGGGGGCTTTCAGGTTTATAGTTTGGGGTGGAGGGAGGCTTGCGTCTCAGCTTTTCACATCTTTTGGCCTCCAGAATCCTGCAAATCCGTGCAACAAGTCGCGTTGGGACTCCTGCGAATGAACCTCTGCAAAATTAAGGGTTCAGGGTTTAAGGTTTAGGGATTGAAACATCGGAGGAGGCGCAATGTAGAGGGCCTCGAAAAGTGCTCTTACTTCGGCGCGTCTGCGCCGGCAAGTGCTTCGCTGTACACAGCTGGGGGGCTGACGAAAATACTTGAAGGTTCATGGTACTTACTAAGCAATTATAACTGGGCTTATAACCCTACTTATAAGTGGGATAACCCCTATAAGGCCCTTTAGGGGTATTATAAGTAGGGTAGTTATAAGTACAGTTATAATTGGTGAGTAAGTACCATGAACCTTCAAATAGGGGACCCCAAATGGAGTCCCCCAAAATAGCAGGACTCCCTTCAGAATCAGGACCCCTCGAAAATCATCGGCAGTTCCGGCTTCGCCATGATGCTCTTCTGTTGAACCAGTTCGGTACGACCATGTGTTTGCAACCCCGGCTGGAAAGCCAAACGCCCTCAACCCAAAGGCCTTCAGACAGGCTCAAGCATCCAGAAGTTCACCGGGCCGACGCCACGCGAGAAGCAAACGTGCGGCTGCACCTCGCCCGCTCCTCAAGCAGGCGTGCTGTTCTGCGTGTTTGGGGTTTAGGGTTTCGGGTTTAGGGTTTAGGGTTTAGGGTTTAGGGTTACAAACTACAAAGATGCACTCAACCCCACCGGGGCGTTTTCTTAGGTAAGCGCTTCGCCCACTGCCTTGTCATGAGAAGAGCGTTCAGGGTTATGGGCTTATGGTTTTTAGGCTTCTGGGCCAGAAGGGTCAATTAGAATCCAGGGCTTCAGGCTCCAGGATAAAGCGCGTGGCTGGGGAGAACTTGGCGGGGTTGATCAGGAAGGAAACCCTGTTCTTGGTAGCCCAATAACCTGAAAAAATGATGGCCTCCTTCTTTGGGTTGATGACCATAAGAGGGGAACCTTGAAGCAACATAGAACAACATCAAAGGGGCACCACTGGGCTAGCAAGATGTCGTGTCTGAGTATGCATTTTACTTCTTCAAAAGCCAAGGTGAAAAAAGGTTGAACTGGATTTCTCCTACAAAATAAGGAGTTTAGGGTTTAGGGTTTAGGGTTTAGGGTTTAAGGAAACCCAAAAAGTTTAAAGTTCATTTCTTGGCTAAGTACGGCCTAAGTTCCCTGGGCTGTTTTTTGCACCAGAGGAGACCCAGGAGAAAGAAGCGGTCATGGTTACAAACGATGCGGGGTTTTGGGATGTTCCCCCTATGCAAACAGTTCTTAATCGGGATTCATACCCTGTTGTTTCGACTTTTTGTGATGTTACGGATGAAGCCAAACTTTCTAAAAAAGTATTGGATGACAGCATATACTCAAAGATTGTAGATTCGTTACCTCCGGAAAAATAACGCCCACTCTAACGAGCTCTAGGAATTTGATTTTTAAAAATAGTTACATTTAGATTTAGAAGGATGTTCTCCAATGTATTTCCTAATAAATTATTTGATAAAAAATCTGGTTACATTAAGCAGGCCCTCTATTTTATGGACTGCTCGTATAAGGGGGAAACATCCAAAGCTCGGTTTCTCTATATTATATGGTCAATTGTTGGGTACCTGTCATTATGTAGAGCCTCCCACACAAAAAGGGACCGGAACTTAGAGAACGGCCAGTATGCATACTATAGGCTCTGGCCAATCGCATGTACCGAACGCCTGGACTGGTCTCTGCGTAGTCATGTCGATGCCTAAACCCTAAACCCTGAGCCCTAAACCCTAAACCCTTAGGCTTTAAACCCTAAACGGTAAACCTTGAGCTGTCTTGGGCACAAGCGGCTCTGCTGTGCAGCCAGCTGCTCTAGGCCAGCCGCCTGCAGAGCGCAACAGCCATCTTTGAGGCTAGGGTTTAGGGTTTACGGCTTAGGGTTTAGGGTTTCGGGTTTGGGGTTTAGGGTTTTGGGTTTAGGGTTGAGGGTTCAGGGTTTAGGGTTTAGGGGTTAGGGGTTAAGGGTTTCGGGTTTGGGGTTTAGGGTTCAGGGGTTTAGGCCTTAGGGTTTAGGGCTTAGGAGGATTGAAACTCTGAGCCCGATGCCGTGTTTAGGTTTAATGTTTCTTGCGTGCCGTGACACTTGGAGATGTGGCAGCAACGGCTCTCATGTTGGTCCAAAGGTACCCCAAGCCCCACATCCGGCAAAATGACCCCGCTCCCCGTAAACCCTCAACCCTCAACCCAAGCTTTCCTTAGCCTCAGACCTCCAAGAGGGGCGCGGCCGCCAAATGGTCCAAGGCGGCCGGTTGCACCGGCCACTGGGGATGCTCTACCTCAGTGGACCAGGGTTTAGGGTTTATAGGGTTCGGGTTTAGGGTTTAGGGTTTAGGGTTTAGGGTTTAGGGTTTAGGGTTTAGGGTTTAGGGTTTAGGGTTTAGGGTTTAGGGTTTAGGGTTTAGGGTTTAGGGTTTAGGGTTTAGGGTTTAGGGTTTAGGGTGTAGGGTGGAGGGTTTAGGGTTTAGGGGTTAGGGTTTAGGGTTTAGGGTTTAGGGTTTAGGGTTTAGGGTTTAGGGTTTAGGGTTTAGGGTTTAGGGTTTAGGGTTTAGGGTTTAGGGTTTAGGGTTTAGGGTTTAATTAGGGTTTAGGGTCCGCCGACATGGGTTTCTGGAAGTGAAAACCTCCCTCTTTCCCTCCTTTAAAACGTGGGGGCGGGTGGGGGGGGGGGGGGGTAGGGGGGGGGTACCCCGGCAGCTTTTCCGTGGAGGAACAGGCCACCCACACCGCGTAAACTCACGGACCATAGGCGGTTTCGCACAGGGCACAGGGGCTCTTTTGGGTGGAACCACCCCCCCGACCCCCCCACCCAGACCCGAACCGCAAACCCAATCCACCAAACCCCAAACCTTAAACTTGTTCTCCTGCGGGGTCGGCGGCTTGAGCCGGAGGCTCTTAAATCCGGCCCCCGCGCCGCCCGTGGTCCAGGGCGGAGCCCGCGTCGCACTAAAGCGCTAGCTTTAAGGGGCGAGCGCCCGAGCCGCCGACCCCGCCCAAAATTGCTTCATATTCGCGCGGGGCCCTTCGGGAGGCCTCCAAAACGGCATCCAAGGGGACGCAACACGCGGTGGTGCGAAAAGCACGAAAACCACGTAAAAACCATGGTTTTTTACGAAAAACCGAGGCCACAAAACACCCGCAGCACCCCATTAAACCCTCACAGGCGCGCATCATCGACCCTAGCTTTTCACATGGGGCGCGCGCCAGGCCGAAGCCGCGTTTTTCAAGGTTTGGGGGGGGTACCGGAAGCCCAAAACCAGGCGAGCATCATGAGCATCAGCAGGCCCTGGCCCGCGGCCCCAAGGCAGCAAAAAACGCTGAAAAACGCTGAAATCACCGCAAATACCGTGTTTTTATGAAGTTTTTCACGCGTGCCTCCGACCCCCACCCTTGTTGCCCTTGACCCGCCCCCAAAGTGCGCATCATCGAAACCCACGTCCGGGGGGGGGTCTGCTGATGCTGCTGATGCGTGGGGGTCCGGGCGCATCATCCAGCCATCGTTTCTCATGGGCTTCGTGGGCCTCCGGGCCCACGGCCCAGAGACCCAGCTGATGCTCATGATGCTTGTTTTGGGGGGGTTCCAACAGCAGAAAACCTCGTAAATACCGAGTGTTTTGAAGGTCCACGTAAAAACGCCCCTAAAATCGCTCATTTTACACGCTCGAACGGCTTCGTGCTTACAACAAACACCGAACAGCAGGGGACCTCCGAATGCCCTTAAGGGGCATCGGGATCTGCTTTTGGGGGTTGGTGGGAACGCAAGGTTCAAGCATAAATCGGCGGTGTTTAAGGGGGTTATTGGATGGCCTGGGGGAGGCCGCTGAGATCATGACTGTCCATTGACTGGGTCCCAAAAGGCTTCCCAAGCCCAAAAAAACGTGTTTACAGCGTTTTCTGAAGGTTTTTCGAAGGCAAAACGCATGCATAGAATGCTTTTAAGGCCCCCAAACCAACCCCACTGATGCTCCTGACGCGGGTGCGCGCGCGCGCGCGCGCGCGCCGGGGGGGGGGGGGGGGGGGGGGGGGGGCGAAGGCACGGAGGGAACGAGAGACAGAGAAAAGGAGAGGACACCAGGACACGGAAAGAGAAGAAAGTGCCAAGGTTCAAGGTTTTCGTGCTGTTTGGGGGCGGGGCCGGCCGTGCCGCTAGGCTGAAAAGTTAGGGCTTTAGGGTTGAGGGTTCGGGTTTTTTAGGGTTTCATTAGATTTAGGTTTTTTTTTTGTTTTAGGGTTGAGGGTGCGGGTTTAGGTTTAGGGTTTCGGATAGGTTTAGGGTTTAGGGTTCGGTTTAGGGTTAGGGTTTCGGGTTAGGGTTTAGGGTTTAGGGTTTAGGGTTTAGGGTTTAGGGTTTAGGGTTTAGGGTTTAGGGTTTAGGGTTTAGGGTTTAGGGTTTAGGGTTTAGGGTTTAGGGTTTAGGGTTTAGGGTTTAGGCTTTAGGCTTTAGGGCTTCTCGCCGCGCCGCGGCAGTAGATTTCATGCGGAGATGGCGCCCCAACACACCCAGCGGGTGTGAGGGGGCGGCATATGTCACGGCGGCGTGTGTTGAAGTTGGAGCCACCACAACCAGAAAGGTTGGGTTGTTCTATTTTTCCCACCCCCTGCTTACGCAGGCATCCACCCAGCTTTTCTCCTTTTAGGGTTTCGGGCTAACGCCCTAAATTCCCACTTCCCATCCCCATCCTTTGAAAGCGGGAGGGGGGGAGCTGGGAGTGGGGGGGGGAGGAAGGGCGGAGCGGGGGGGGAGGGGGGGGAAGGGGGGGAAGGGGGGGGAGGGGGGGGGGGGGCGGCCAGAAGGGGGGCCAGCCGGGGGCTAGGGGGGGGGGCCGGGGCCAGAGCGTCCGGCTACAAAAAAATCAGGTTTTTGGGTTTTTGAGCAATCGCCAACCCCCCTGGTCCCTGAACACGCTCCGTCAGGGGCCCGGCACCAGGGGGCTCCGGAGGGGGGCCAGGGACGACCTGCAGAAGCCACTTTTGGTATTGTGGGAACACGCACCAAATTTAGGGTCATACTTGAGAATCGGAGAAGGGGGGCGGGGTACTGCACCGGCACTGGAGGTGCAGCTCACGCTCAACACAACTCTTTAGGCTTGCACAGTAAGTCCAAGCGATGGTGTTAATCGCTGTCGGGTGTAGTGCTGGGTCCAGGCACCCTAGAAGAGGGTGGGTACGGCCTAAGCAGGCCTGGGTGGGAATTTAGGGTTTAGGGTTTAGGGTTTAGGGTTTAGGGTTTAGGGTTTAGGGTTTAGGGTTTAGGGTTCAGCATCTCAAGTCCGAGCATTCACTAGTCAAGCAGCTTGTCAAGCGTTGGAAAAAATCCCACCCACCCAAGAAACCCATAACATTGAGAAAATAAAGTTCACTTAATACTTTCCCGGTAGGCTTAAAGCTCAAAGTCCAATTGGTCCAAAATATTTTAGTTTTTAACGGACCCAAAACCCGAAATCTAATCTAAGGCCCGCAATAAGCCCTTTATGCTCTTAGGGCCCTAAACCCTACGGTTTAGAAGCCCCAATCGGTGAAGGCTCGGTTTTGGTCAAAAATCCAGAAAACGAGAGCCCACCCAGAACCGTCGATTTCAGTACTAAAAAATCGCAGTTTTAACTGGGACTCTTGCCGATCCTGGGGTCCCCCTCATTTGGGGTGTTTTGGGAGGCAAACTTTCCCTCTCAAGGGGGGGTCGGAGTTTGAGGCAAGGGGGGTCTCCGAAGACTATTTTGCCTTTCAAATTGGAAAATACGATCCCCCTTGACCAAAATTAGGCTGTGAAAAGGTCGCCGGGGTGGCCTGTCATCAGAATTGAGGGTTAAAAAACCCTGAAACACCCTGAAAAACATTGGAAAACCTTAAAAAACACTGAAAAACTCTGAAAAACCTTGACAGAACGTGAAAAAAAAACTTGAAATCCTGAAGCCGGTGAAGCTCGGTTTTGGTCAAAAATCCAGAAAACGAGAAGCCACCCAGAACCGATGATTTCAGTACTAAAAAATCGCATTTTTAACTGGGACCCTTGCCGATCCTGGGGGTCCCCATCATTTGGGGTGTTTTGGGAGCAAAATTTAGCCCTAAACCCTATGCCCCAAACCCTACGAGCCCTAAACCCTATGCCCCAAATAGAAAAACCCATTTGCCGACGAAGGGGGTCAGGGTTTAGTGGCCCCCCCCCCGGGTGGAAAAAACCATTTGCCGACGAAGGGGGTCAGGGTTTAGGGCCCCCCCCGGGTGGAAAAAAACCATTTGCCGACGAGGGGTCAGGGTTTAGGGCCTGGGTGGAAAAAAACCAGGGTGGAAAAAAACCATTTGCCGACGAAGGGGGTCAGGGTTTAGGGCCCCCCCCGGGTGGAAAAAAACCATTTGCCGACGAAGGGGGTCAGGGTTTAGGACCACCCGGGTGGAAAAAACCATTTGCCGACGAAGGCGGTCAGGGTTTAGGGCCCCCCCCGGGTGGAAAAAAACCATTTGCCGACGAAGGGGGTCAGGGTTTAGGGCACCCCCCCCGGGTGGAAAAAAACCATTTGCCGACGAAGGTCATTAGGGTTTAAATATACATAGTAAAAGAGGGTTTAGGGTTTAGGGTTTAGGGTTTAGGGTTTAGGGTTTAGGGTTTAGGGTTTAGGGTTTAATTAGGGTTTAGGGTTGAAGTTTCGGGTTTAGGGTTTAATTAGGGTTTAGGGTTTAGGGCTTAGGGCTTAGGGTTTGGGGTTTAGGGCTCAGGGTTTAGGACTCAATTGTTTTTGCATAAGACGGACTCAAGCACTCCTACACCCTCAACCCGAAGCCCTATGTTCAGGCAGGGTGCATCACCCCTGAGCAGGAGAGGTCCCTGCCCCAGAGGCCAGGCCGCATAGACGGAATACCTGGCATGAGTTCCCACCCTCTAAGAACGGGGTTTAACGTTTAGGGTTTATGCTTTGGGGATTAGATGCTTTCACTCTACCGACTTCATCTTTGCGCGACCGGAATCAAACCAGTCCATCCTCAATCCTAAAAACCCTACCTACGCCCCCAATCGTAGTTCCAGTTGCGGAGGGCAACCTAGGTTCGTATTGTACCATACCAACACCCACATTGCGCACTAATCTCTACTACTTTCTTAAGAAACCCCCTCAAACAAAGACATGATAACAATCCCCTATTGCCCTTATAAGGAAGAATATTTTTTTTGTTTTACTTTGGGGGGTTCTTAAGCAATTAGTAGCAATGAACAGCATAGGCATACACCCCAAGTTAAGCCTCGAAGCAGCGGGCCTCTCCACGAACCAGGTGGCCCGCTGCGAAAACTTGTCGTCTCCGGAGGTCTCGGGCAGCAGATGCCACTGGGCAGACACCTTTTCTCATGCATGGTTGGGATAGTACTAAAATTTCAATAAATAAAAAAATAAATATATGTATATATATATATATATTTGTTTATTTATTCCTTATGGTGTTTAAGTACCCTTGAAATTGTAAAAATGTTACCCCACTATGACAAAGTCTTCTCTGGGATCCCTGCAACTTAGTCCTTGGCAAAAAACTCAGAGTCTAGGGAAATTGCTGGGCCCTCAAGCCTAAACCGTACCAAAACCCTTGAAGCCCCTAAAACCCTGTAACCCTAAACCCTAAACCCTAAACCCATATGGAATCTAGGACCCCCAAACGATAGCAGAAGGGTCCGCAGGGAGAGCCAAGATTGTAGGAAGCCTCGGAAGATGGTGATGGTGGATGAGGAGGTATAGAGGGGTTTAGGGTTTAGGGTTTTGGGGTGCATAAGAACGCGCTCAGCGCGACTAGATTAGATTTCGGCACTCTTGCTCAATGAATCCCAGAAGCCTCGGCGGCCCCAAAGCCATATACATTCTTTCATCCCCAGATGATCAGTCAAGTTATACTCCCAGGAAGGCTAACTGGGGTTAGGGTTTAGGGTTTAGGATTTAGGGTTAGGGTTTAGGGTTTAGGGCGTAACCTGTCAACCACAAGCCCCAGAGAGCTAGCTCACTGGACCACGGGGCAGTGGGTCGACGAAGGAGGCCGGACCGTGTGGAAGAGAACGTGAAGGTGAAGCCTGCTTGGAGGTTCATGGTACTTAGTAACTGGTTTAGGGTTTAGGGTTTAGGGTTTAGGTTTTAGGGCTAACCCACTTACAAGCCTCTTAAGTGCCCTAATATGGCTATAAGTACAGCTACAAGTAGTTACTGAGTACCACGAACCTCCAAGTGGGACGTGCCACACGAGGCCCACAGAACCAAAGACTGTAAACCCTAAACCCTAAACCCTAAACCCTAAACCCTAAACCCTAAACCCTAAACCCTAAACCCTAAACCCGAAACCCTAAACCCTAAACCCTAAACCCTAACCCAGGCCTTCAGCGGTCGCTGCCAAGGGCTTCGCCTGCTCGCCGGTGGCAGCGAAGGGCTCCTCGCAAGGGCTTGGGGTTTGGGGTTTGGGGTTTGGGGTTTGGGGTTTAGGGTTTAGGGTTTAGGGTTTAGGGTTTAGGGTTTAGGGTTTAGGGTTTAGGGACTACAGGGCTTTAAAAGGCTTTCGGGGTTCAAAGTGAGTGTGTGTGTGTGTGTGTTTGTTTTTGCTTTTGCAGTTTTTGTAATGTTTAATCATTGGGGCATTTAAACGGTTCGTCTGAGGTGTTAAGGGCAGAGCTTACAACAGGAATCCGGTTCTCAGGTTGGAGGTGGCGGGTCTTGGGTCTGAGCTGTAGAGCTTTTGGGGTTTAGTAGTGGCCTTTTGGGTTTGGGGTTCAGGGGGTGGTCTAGGAGCCCTAAACCCTAAACCCTAAACCCTAAACCCTAAACCCTAAACCCTAAACCCTAAACCCTAAACCCCAAGCCCCAACCCCTAAACCCTAAGCCCCAAACCCCAAATCCTAAATCGTGCGGAGGTTTAGGATTTTGGGGGTTGGTTTTGGGGACCCAGTCAGAGGCCCCAATTGCCCACCTCCCTCTTCCCAAAAGCAAAATAAGTACGCATACAAGGCCGCCGAAACCCTAAACCCTAACCCTAAACCCTAAATCCTAAACCCAGCACCCTTGAGCCCTGCACCCCTCAAACCCCTGCACCCCGAAACCCAAACCCTGAGCCCGAAAACCGTTAGACCCCAAAGCCGCTCAGCACAACAACCCTTGAAACCCCTAAGCTCTCTAAGCCCTAATCTCAAAACCCCCACTAACCCTTACTTAGCATCAACCCTTATACACCCTCGTAAACCCTCATAAGCCCTTCTAAACCCCTAAACCGACAATCCTAAACCCCAAACCCTAACCCTAAACCCTAAACCCTAAACCCAAACCCCAAACCCTAAACCCCAAACCCTAAACCCTAAGCCAACCTCCAGGCTCTCCTGGTCTACTTCACGCTCCATGCTGGCCGGGTAGTAGGGGATTCCCGCCAGGCGCGCGCCAAGAGATGCCAGTATGCCTTTTTAAATCAGGGTTTAGGGTTTAGGGTTTAGAGTTTAGGGTTTAGGGTTTGGGGTTTAGGGTTTAGGCTCCTCTCGACTTGTTACTGCCTCTCAAGGGGGTTTGGGGTTTTAGGGTTTCGGGTTCAGGGGTTTAGGAGGGTTTGGGGTTTTGGGGTTTAAGGTCTTAGGGCTTTGGGGTTTTCGGGTTTTGGGGGTGTAGGGGTTTACGGCTTTGGGGTTGAGGGCTTTCGGGGTTCGGAGCAGTAGCCCTTAATTACAACCCTGTCCCTAAGAGAAAGGGGAACAAGGGTACTACTGGCCCTAAACCCCAAAGCCTACAATCTATACACTTCAACTCCAAAAGCGAAATCCTAAACCCTAAGCCCTAAACCCTCAACCCTCACCGCTCAACCCCAAACAAAACCTACGCTCTGTGGTTCGAAGCTGCTCGAGCACTCCAGAGACCAAAAGAAGATGCCCGGCACGTCGTTGTGGCGAACATAGGTTCCTCGGTGGTGCGGTGTACCCACTCTTCCGGTTTGTGGTCTTCAGATACTCTAATATAGGGGCCTGAATATTTTTTAGAACAGGGTTTTGGGGGTTGTAAATTATTGTAGAATTACAAAGAGGCCATAAGGGAACATTATTCGTAATTAATCCGACCCCTCTATTCGTTACTCTAGTTCGACCTTTGCCGCGCCTGATTGGTAAAGCTCTCTGAAACCCAACAAATCCAGCGACATCGCCACGAAAATTGGCAGCGACCCTGACCAGGCTGCCAAAGCTATAACCACACCTTGCCAACGACACGAAGTCTTGGGTTCAGGGTTTCGGAGGTTGACGCTGGGCCCACGATTCAGGTTCCCACGTTTACCTTCGGCTGGGCAACGGATGTTGGCACCCAGGTGATCAATCGGACGCACCTCAAGCGGGTGATGCTGGGTTCAGCACTACTACTTAGTTGCCCAATACCTTGGCCCAAAAAAAATTAAACTTTTCTTTTAGTAGGGGTTTAGTATGCCCAAAAAGTTTAAAGTTCACCTATTGGGCTCCTAAGACTACACTGCTGCTTGAAGATTCTGACGTCTGTCGGAAGACTCTGACAATCACTTCTCATCTGCCTGACAATGCCCTCCCATCTCTTGATCGAAGCTGCGCACGGTATGCTTCTCACATGGTACAATGCAGAGCCTCACCTCACCCTAAACCCTACACCCGAAACCCTAACACCTAAACCCTTAGCCCTAAGCTCTAAGCCCTAAACCCTAAACCCTAAACCCTAAGCCCTAAACCCCTAAAGTGCTCGAGGCCCCCTGTTCCCACGAGGCGCAAGTGTGCGTCCCAGCGGGTGTGCGGCGGAGACGCCGCGCTCCGTGAGGAGCACCAGGCCTTCAGTCCGAAGCATTCATCTTTTGGGTTCTGGATTATATGGGGTTATAGTCTTTTGGGTTCTGGATTAGATGGGGTTATAGGGAAATGGGGGGTTTATAGGGTTTAGGGTTTGGGGTTTAGGGTTTCTGGGGTTATACGGAAAATGGGGTTTATAGGGTTTAGGGTTTATAGGGTTTATAGGGCTTATAGGGATTTAGGGTTTAGGGTTTCGGGTTTTAGCCCATCCAGGCCCCTCGGAGCCCTGGAGCCTCTACACAGCGGCAAAATCCGTTTCGCTGCTGTCTTGGCTGTTGCTTGTTTGATTCAACTTGTTCGTTTCAAAGTGCATTTTCTGAAGAATTTGATTCAACTTTTTCCTTTTAAAATTCTATTTTCTTAAGAATTTTGGACTTGGAATTGATTCTGATGGCCCTTGAACTCATTCAGGCCTTCTGGAGAGTATGTTTGGGACGGGGCACCTTTGGTCACGAAACTATGGTCCCTTTTAAAGGGTCCTTATTACAAAGTGGCCCCTCTTGTCCAGGGAGGGGCCCTAAGTTTGAGAAGTAAGCCTCTATGATTTCCAAAGCCTAAGAAAACCCAGAATGACTGCGTATTTCAACTCTCGCGAATCGGTCTCTGAGTTCGCCGCCTGTCAAAATACCAGACGACCGGGAAAAGGGAGCCAACGGACTGGGTGGGGGGCTGGAACTGTTCTTTGATTTTACACGCGGTAGGTTTCGTAAGGGAGAAGCATGAGAAAGCCACGTGAACAGACCTGGAATCCAGTACATCCATTCCACCTGTCAGTCTCCTAAGTCTCTGGCTTTTATCACCTGCAGGATGTAAGCCCTAACCCTAAACCCTAAACCCTGAACTCTAAACCCTAAACCCTCCAAATCCCAAACCCCGAACAAGGGAAGCTCTCCTTTACGTGCTCATACTAAAGGCCCATGACTCCAACCTTAGATTAGGAGGGCTCAAGTTCTGAAGGTGTACCGTTTTGGGGAAGAAACGCGCTTTGAAGCTTAGAGACGGGAAAGAAGTCCCAAAACCCTAAACCCTAAATAAACCCTATAAACCCTAGACCCTATACACCCGAACCCGTTAAAACAAAAAAAACCAAAACCCCATAACTCAAAGCCCTATAAACCATGCTAAGGGCCCATGGTTGTTCGGGAGATGTGGCTCTGGAGTCCTTAGCCCTTAACCCCAAACCTAAACCCTGCAGACATGGGTTTTCGGCGAGGTCGGCCTCAGGGGGTTCTATCCTGCAAAAAGGAGGGGGTTTAGGGTTCAGGGTTTAAGGCTTGTAGGGTTTATGGGGCTTGTAGGGTTTAGGGCTTATAGGGTTTGTAGGGCCTACAGGTTTTATAAGACCTAAAGGGTTTACAGGGCTTATAGGGTTTTGGGTTTATAGGGTTTTGGGTTTGGTGTATAGGGCCTATAGGGTCTAGGGCTTATGAGGGTTGGGGTTTATAGGGTTTAGGGTTTATAGTTTATAGGGTGTAGGGTTCAGGGTTTAGGGTTACAGTCTAGCAGCTACAAAAGCATGGACTGCGAAGTCGTTGGACCCTGAACCGGAGATACTCCGATACAGATTTGAATCCTCAAGACCTAAACCCCCTAAACCCTATATAAACCCTAAACCCCAAACCCTAAACCCTAAACCCAAAACCCTAAAGCACCCTCACCCCTAAGCAGCCCAGGGGCCCACCCAAGCTGAACCTTCCAAGATGTCGGGCTCCAGGCCCCTGGCCAAGAGGGCGGGTTTAGGGTTTAGGGTTGAGGGTTGAGGGTTTAGGGTTTAGGGTCCGCCGACCCCGGCGGCGTGTTGGATGGTTTTGGGGGAGGGAACCCTCCCCCTCCCCTTACACCCCCAAAAACCTTAAAACGTGGGGGGGGGGGGGGGGGGGGGGGGGGTGGGGGGTCGGTGCACAATTTGTTCATGCAGGACCGCGCCACAGGCGCTTCAGCACAGGGGGCTCCTTTGGCAAGCCCCCACCCCTCCCCCCCCCACCTCACTCCCCCCCCCCCCTCTCCCCACATCCCCCGCACCCCCCCACCCCGCAAACTCGGGTGTGGGGTTTAGGGTTAGGGGTTTGGGATTTAGGGACTAGGATTGAGGTTTCACGGTAAGGTTGCCTATGTTGCAACCTTACGCCAACCACTCCAACAGTTCGAAGCCTCTACCCCCCCATTCCCACAACACAGCCTCAAACCCCGAACCTTGGTTTGAGGGTTGAGAGGTTTCGGGCCTCTTGGGTCGGCGGCCTGAGCCGGAGGCTCCTCCATTTAGGGTTTAGGGTTTAGGTTTCGGGTTTGGGGTTGACGGCCTCAGCCCGGTTGCTGGGTGTCTGGGGACTCACGGCCTCCTCCGTGTCGAAGAGTGTGAGGGTGTCAGTCTTCAGTGCACCTCCTCTTAGCTAAACCGAAGCTCTGATTTTAGAGTACCCAAAAACCCTGAAACCCAAAAAAAAACAATGAAACCTTCGAAACTCAAGAGCCCCGACCATCGATAAATCCTAAAACCTAAGACGCAATCGGGCTTCGTTGCTTCCGCGGAGCTTGTGCAACGCACCAACCACGAATCCACCCGCCCCGAAAGCCTTAAACACCAAGCCCCTTAGTTCCCGCCCTTACGTAACCCCATATATATATATAATATATATATATATATATCCCTGACCCTAAGGGTCCATGGCCCATGTATGAAATATAAGCCTGGGCCCCAGATCTATTATGTGAGTATTATATGGAATCCCCTTTGAGGCCCAAGCAAGTATATACTGTATAGGAACATGGACCCTAAACCCTAAACCCTAAACCCTAAACCCTAAACCCTAAACCCTAAACCCTAAACCCTAAACCCTAAACCCTAAACCCTAAACCCTAAACCCTAAACCCTAAACCCTAACCCTAAACCCCAAACCCTAAACCCTCAACCATGGACTTTTAGGGTGAACCCCGGCATGGCCTTGGCAGCAGTTTCGCCACCACTTCGGGCGCTACGGGCCAGTGGACGAAAAGAGCGTTCCTTCGGTTTTTTGGGCTCTTTGCGAACCTAAGGGTTTCTGAGCGTTTAGGGTTTAGGGTTTAGGGCTAGGGTTTAGGGATTTAGGGATTTGAGGGGTTTAGGGATTTCGGGGTGTAGGGGTTTAGGAGCCTAGTGTTTTGTGTAAGGGGTTTAGGGCTTGAGGTTCGGGACCCTGGGCAGGGGTTCTTAAGGGAGGGGGTTCATGGGGGCGAAGAAGGGAGTGTTAGGGGACCTTGGGTTACATACCCGCTTGAAACCCCCTCCCTTAAGAACTCTATAACCATGCAGCCTGTATGAAGGGGGGATAGTTTGATCTGTGTATACATTTTTTATCAGGTAAGTGTTTCTAAGAGTCTGGGAACACGCAGGGCACACAGTGGACAAAGGGAGGGAAGGAGGGAGGGAGGGGAAGGGAAGAGGAGGGGAGATGGCCTAAAAACCCTAACCCCCCTAAACCCTAAACCCTAAACCCTAAAAACCCTTAAAACCCTAAAAACCCTAAAAACCCTAAACCCCCTAAACCCTTCGGAGGGAAAGAGGCAGGGGGGGCAGCGTGGAAATGTCGCGACTTCGGCCCTGACCAAACTGCACGCTGTGCAAATGCCCCGGGGCAAGTTGTCGAGATTGTACGTACTCTCCCTGCGGCCCCGCTTCGTCGGGGTCTCCGCAGCCGCGTCAGCATCGACGACCACCGGAGAATCCCGCTCCCGGATGGGAGCTCGATCTGCGCGGGCACGGCTGGCGGCAGGGACGACCGGCTCCTCGCCGAACACTTCGATTTGTTCGGCCAGCAGCGCTTCGTGGCCGGTTGCGTTGTTTTCCAGCAAGGAGGCCGCCTGCACCTCCTGCTCGAAGGCGTTCCAAAACACCTCGATGTCCGAGTCGCCTTCGCACAAGCCTTCCGACTTTTCATCAGCGAAAGGTGGTGAACTCCGACACCTACAGTAAACTTCAAAAGGTTGGAACATTCTGATCCCCATACCCCAACAGGTATACTGAAGGGAATCCCAGGCCGAATCAGCCTGATACCATATTCCAACTTGCAGGAGTTTATTCTACTTGAATTTGAAAGTTACTGGGCACGTATCTGTAGGGCTGTCGGTGATGATTATCACCAAAGTTTACCCAAACTCAAACGTGCTTATGCTAGACCAAGGAGTAGGCGAGGAACAACAAGGGTACCCTTTTGGTTTTAAAGTGATTACAAGGGAACCCCAACCCTAACAAAAGGAAATAAGGGCCTAGTCCCGGTCCTAGTATAAGTACCCATGAACCTAAGCCCAGGAGCGGCTCAGCAATTTCACAGGTTTAGGAGGGTTTAGGCGGGGGGGGGGGGGGGGGGGGGGGTACCCTTAACATACCCCCAAATAGTGTAATCCTTATTCTCAGAGCCCCCAAAAGGGTACCCGCCCCCCCCCCCCCATTTTCGGAAACCCCCATATGGTTAATATAGGAGCCTTAGTAAATAGAATAGGGTTTTGGGGGTTATTATAGTACAATTATAAAGGGACCATAAGCGAATACTATTCGTAGTTATTTCGACCTCTATAGGGCAGAATCCCATTTCAGCTCGAAGGATCTCCCAGGCGTCGTGCATCATGAAGCGGAACCTCGTGTTGCGCTCTTGGCTTAGGGTTAGGGAATTAGAGATTAGGGGTTAGGGGTTTAGGGTCTAGGGTTTAGGGGTTCATGTTTATAGGGTTTAGGGCTTAGGGTTTAGGAATTGGGGCCCTGGCCCAGCCCCTAGATCCTCGCGGCTGTGCAGCCTCTAAATGGGGTGTGTACTTGAAGGCTCACGGGTACTTATAAGTAGGGTTCTAAGTACCCGAAAAAAGGTTACAACCATAGTTACCCTACTTATAACCGCACGTATACCCACACATGAACCTCCAAGTATTGGCACTGTAGTTCTATGCATGTTGCAGGGATTTGGGGCCGTAGAATCGGCAGCTCAGTAACCACATCAGAATCCTGTTTTGGCCTGGTAACTTCACAGCCCAAAAAGGGCAACAAGGGTTCCGCTCAGTGGCTTGCAGGATTACAAACCGTGGGGCTTAGATCTCTGTCGTGTGCCGTGCCTGATAAAGTGGGATTTCGCACCCACCCCCCCCCCCCCCCCCCCCTGCCCTCCCCCCCCCCCACCAAAATCCTGTTTAGGGTGCAGGGTGGTTTAAAGTTTAGGCTTCACAGGGTACGTAGCCAGCTCCCGTGGCCTGAACCTATGCGCAACCCTTGACCCCTTCTCCCAAACCCCAAACCCATGCAAAGGCTTACCATATTAGGGGCACCTTTTTGGGGTCCTATTCTCATAGTTCGGAAAACCCCCCCCCCCAACAACCCCCCCCCCCAGGCCCCCATCCTTACTGCGCGCGACAAGCCTTTTGCTAATTAAAACGCGCAACGTCGACTGGGCCTTTGTTACCCCTGCGAATTGAAGACTGTTCGCCAGCTAATAGCTGCTATTAGCGGCTTGTTGGCTTGGGGGGGGGGGTCGTGTAACCAGGACTGCGTTCGCTAATAGCTGGCGAATAGCAGTCAGCAGTGCTAATAGCTAGCTAATAGTGCGGAAGGGTCGTGTGGCTATAAGCTGCTATTAGCTGCCCAATAGCCAGCTAACAAAAACAGACTTTTGTGCAGCCTGGGAGGGGGGGTTCTTGGGGGGGGGTTTTCCGAACTATGATATTCTTAAGGGGATCCTACGATTTTGGGGGTCTATAACCCTAAACCCTACACCCTACACCCTACACCCTAAACCCCAACCCTAAACCCTAAACCCTAAACCCTAAACCCTAAATCCCCTAAATCCTAAACCCTAAACCCCACGTCTGCTCCGAGAAGCTTCAGCCGCCTCTGTGCAATGAGCTGCTGCGAGGCGGCGATCTCCGCCATGGCTGGAGGAAGAGGAAGGCGTCAGCTGCTAAAGCTTGCAAGAAGCAAGAACCCTAAACCCTAAACCCTAAACCCTAAACCCTAAACCCTAAACCCTAAACCCTAAACCCTAAACCCTACAAAAAGTGAGCTGGAAAACTCGGCTGCAGAGCTATCTCAGGACTCAAGGTCTCTAGGACAGCATGGGCTCGGGGGTTAAGGGCCTCTACGGGATTCGAGAGGTCTGTTCTGCAGACCTTCTTCTTGTCACAGTGTCTCTCTTACGGCTGCGGCTCAGCATGTTTTCGACTCCGAGCAGCCATTCATGTGCTAGTGCCTTGGTGTTCGCAGCTGGTAAAGGACCATTCTCGCAAAGCTTGCAAGAAGGGGGTCGGAGGCTCAAAAGTAGAGTCTTAAGTCGAGTTTCCATGATCAGATTTGCTCTGCTCCTTAGTTCAGCCAGCACAGGCACAAGCTGAGACTCTGAGGTTTTCTACTGTGGGAGAGGATTCAACCAAGTTTCGCTCTTTGGTTCGCATATACTACATTCTATTCCCTTCGTGATGCAGGTGCCACTGACGACCTGCACTGAGTTCTGTACGTCTTCTGCATGGTCTCCAAAAGCATCGGCGAAGCTTTCGTCCGTGCGTCGGAGATCTGAGTGGCTTCCGGGGGTTTAGGGTGTAGGGGTTTAGGGGTTTAGGGGTTTAGGGGTTTAGGGTTTAAGGGGTTTAGGGGTTTAGGGGTCTAGGGCTCTAGGGGTTGAGGCGCGGAACTGCTTGAGATGTTTCTTGAGGAAACATCTTCTCATGAATGTGTGGAAGCGGGGGGTGCCATGATCCTTAATTGCCGCTAACCGCTTGCTTAACTTAGTTGCCCAATGCCTTGGCCCAAAAAAACAAACTTTTCTTTTAGTAGGGGTTTAGCATACCCAAAAAGTTTAAAGTTTACCTATTGGGCTCCTAAGTTAAGACTCCAAACCCTGGGCCTGAACCCTAAAGCCTCAAACCCCAAACGGCAAAGCGTCTTGACAAGCCTCAGTTGATTGGGGGTTCCCACACTTGTTCATCATCGAGCCCGAAGCACCTAATTTGAATCAAGAAAGACTCAGACAATTTAGGGTTTAGGGAACTGCAAGCCCTAAACCCGAAACTCGAAACCCTAAACCCCTAGAGCCTAAACCCTAAACCCTAAACCCTAAACCCTAAACCCTAAACCCTAAACCCTAAACCCTAAACCCTAAACCCTAAACCCTAAACCCTAAACCCGTGGCTGAGAGGTGTTTCAGGGTCCGAGGGCCGAAGGGCCATGGTCGGAGGTTGAGCGAACTCCTGAATGGAGGATCCTGGGAGTTCTTTAAGGGGTTTAGGGGTGTTTCGGGGGTTTAGGGTTTAGGGTTTAGGGTTTAGGGTTTAGGGTTTAGGGTTTAGGGTTTAGGGTTTAGGGTTCGGGGGCAGTTCTATCTTGGTCGATCTGGCACCCCTCGCCCGACTTTCTGTCCTGAGCCCCCTGGCAACTCTCAGCGTCCTCCGATCTGCCAAGGACCTCGCAGCAGGTATCCGAAGTATAGGGCCTCATTGTGTGATTAGTGTATATAAGGGTTGTACAACAAGGGACCTAAATCAAGGGCCCATACTTGGAATCCTAGAAAACTTGAATTTTCATGGGTACTTAGAAGTAGGGCTATGAGTAGGGTAACTCTGGTTATAACATTATTTAGGGTGCTCAAAAGACCCTCCATGGCCCTTCAAGTAACGGAGCAGTACTGAGGCTTCTTGCTAGGGGTTTCTCGGAAACCTACTCCGCCTGAAACCCACCTCCCTTACAGACTTGCGGTCGGGTTGTGGTTGCTTGAAGACTTTTACTTTGGAGCAGGACAGCTGTACGCCAACAGTCTGCTCAGATGATCCCATAAACCTGCCCACGAGAACATCTCAAAACCCCAGCCAGAAAACAGCGCAGAGTCACCAACGAAACGCTTAAGTCCTAAGTACACTAGCCCTAAACCCTAAACCCTAAACCCTAAACCCTAAACCCTAAACCCTAAACCCTAAACCCCTAAACCCTAAACACAAGCGCACCCAGCCCCCCCACAAGTTCGCCAAAGTCAAAGAAGCCCCCCAAGCACTCGCAAAAAAACCCTTGATCCTCTTACACCGACTTCTCTGACTTCGACGGGCGGTTTAGGGTTTAGGGTTTAGGGTTTAGGGTTTAGGGTTTAGGGTTTAGGGTTTAGGGTTTAGGGTTTAGGGTTTAGGGGTTCGGGTTCAGGGTTTAGGGTTGCAGAAGCTCTGCCCCAAACCCTCTCCCTGGGCCAGGGGCAGCTGACGCGAGAGCCGGGCCGCCTGGTCAGCCCACGGACCCTGGCCGAGTCGGGGCTGCGGGTTTCGGGTTTAGGGTTGAGGGTTTAGGGTTTAGGGTCTAGGGTTGAGGGCCTCTTGAGCCAATAATGAATCGGTTTTAAGGATTTTAAGGGTTTAGGAGTTTAGGAGGGCGTTTGGGGGTTCAGGAGTTTTCTTGTGTTTTCGGGTCTAGGGGTTTTGGGTTCATTGTACTGACCCTTGTACCCTAAGCACCATTTTCTGTGTGGCGCACTCCCCGATGTGCAAAGCTTCCCGATTTCTCACCCTGCTGGACCTTTGCCGTCACAGCACTCCATCCCAAGACAAACAAAGCACGAAAGCTAAACAATTGCACTAATGGTCTTCGTAAATGTGTAAAATTCCTAAACCCTAAACCCTAAACCCTAGACCCTAAACCCTAAACCCTAAACCCTACATCCTAAACCCTAAACCAACCCAGCTACCCCGGCCAGCAACGCGTCGCCAATTCCGGCCATGGATCCAGCATGGAGCCTCATTGGGTTTTGGTTCCTCCTGGTGTGGCTTAGAGGAGTGAGGCTAGGTTTAAGGTTTAGGGCTTAAGGCCTAAGGTGTAAGGCTTAAGGTTTTTTGGATTACGGATTAGGCAGTTAAGGTTTGAGGTTTAAGCTTCAAAAACGACGGATTAAGTATTTAGGGTTTAAGGTTTAGAGTAAACCTTTGAGGCCTTCTGGCACTACACACCACAAGAGGCTGGAGGCTCCGGGCACCATACAAACACCAAAAAGTCACAAACAAGTGCCTGGAGGCCACGGAGGCCCCCAAAAAGTTCCCACAAAGGCACCGAAGGCTTCAAAAAGGCCCCGGGGGCTCTCGATCCCGAACCTTGGAGGTGTATCATTCGGAACGACACTCTCGGTATCGAACCTTGCTCCCTCAGGGTTTCCAGAAACCCTTCAGCCAAGAAGCTGATCTCGGGACCCCCCCCCCCCCGCGCAGCCCTACAAAGAAAACATGCCAACAAAAAGTCCCATAGCAGATGGGGCCCGGCAATCCTCTCAGCCAAGCCTGTACAAGGAAACAAGCCAACAAAAAGTCCTGTAACAGATCGGCTCCGGCAATCTTGTCAACCAAGCCCTTAAAAGCAAACAGGCCAACTAAAAGTCCCGGGATTTCATCAATGGGCATTATGCTGCTACAGTTTTCCTTGAGAAGAATCAGCCTTCAGCAGTGTGAGAGTTAAGGGAAGGCCTATGCGAATGACCACGTGCTCGAGTCCAGAGAGAGAGAGAGAGTGAGAGAGAGAAACATGCGGAGGCACGGGAGGTGGAGGGAGGGATAGAGAGTGTGAGACAGAGAGTAAGGGAGACAAAGAAAGGAAGAAATACAGGGAGAGAAGGGGAGATAGAGGCAATGTGAAAGGGGGGGACAGGGACGGAGAGAAACAAAACGAGAGAGGCTGAGCGAGAGCAGGAGAAACAGAGAAACGGAGGGCGAGAGAGAGAGAGAGACGGGAAATACAGGGCCCCCCCTTTGCCGCCCCCCCTCCCCTCCCCCCCCTCCCAAAAATGAAAAGTTAGTTCCAAAAAACAAGACGTTTCGGTCAAAACTTTCGGTCAAAACTTTTTGGGCCCCGAACGCTATACAATTTCTATAAACCCTAAACCCTAATTCCTTAAACCCTTAACTCCCAAATGAGGGCCCCAGCACTCGCAGCGTCTTCTCGGAGTCGAAGCGTGACGCCATTCGCCGCACCTCGTGGACGGGAGCGCAATGAAGTCAGGCGTACCACATATGTGTGGATTCAATGTAGGGTTTAGGGTTTAGGGTTTAGGGTTTAGGGTTTAGGGTTTAGGGGTTCGGGTTTAGGGGTTAGTTAGGGGTTAGGGGTAAGGGGTTTAGGGTATGCTGCCTCCAACAACTCCGTAGACTTGGGAGTTTAGTGTTTAGGGTCCGACTCCTGAATCCTAAGTTGCAATCTGACTGAGGCTTAACCCCGGAACGCTACATCCAATCCAGGCGTAGCCGCAGTACAAGGGCAAGAAGATCTGAATAAGTCCCTTAAGCTCTCCCAATAAATGCTGAAACCCCCCTGAACCCCAAACCCTAAAACCTAAACCCTAAACCCAAGCCCTGCACCACCCCAAAATCCTGGGACCCTTTACCTCAATCGTGAAACCTTCACTTCCGGATGCCAGCCGTATGATAAAGGCAGCATCTCACGAATGTCGGCCATAGGGGTCGTTTCCCTGAACACGAAACGAAAACCCAGGTTTTGGGTTCAGGATGCGGGTATCTCGCTTGGGTTGCCGGCTTTGGGTTTAGGCTTCTTGGGTATTGTCGGGCTCTACGGATTATTGTGTTGGTGTCTTCCTCCCCGAACAGCGGGTTTAACTTTAGCTCTCAATGCAGAAGCTGCGATCTTTTCCCCGCTAACTTCTGGACCTCAACATCAAAATCACGTGACTGTTTGGTCTGTACAGCCCAACCAGCATGCTTAAATGCTAGACATACAACTTGGTTGATAACATAAACCCCAAACCCAAAACCCAAGCGATTCCTCAAGCAAAGCAATTCCTGAATAGGGCTTGGGGTTTAGGGCTTAGGCTTGTGTGATCTTCCAAACCCTAAACCCGAAACCCTAAACCCTTAAACTAAGGGGGAAAACGCAGATCATCTTAAGGGACCTACCCTAGGATG